TATACCAACTCTATGTAGTAAGAGACAAAGATTTTTCTAATCTTTTAATTTCCAGTCATGTAAAATGCAACGTAAATTAATTTAATACAAAGAACTGTAGCACATATATTGTGCGGGCGCCGAGTGAGCGCTCAGCTTTTAAGAACAACGCATGTATTATTCATTCACATTCATTCAGAAGAGTGGTGCTAAATAAAACTAACGTTGTAAATGTACTTGTATTTTTAAAATAAATCACTTCTAAAACATTCTAAAACATTTTTTTAATAATAATTACGTGACGAAACACAGTCGGCCAGTCAGCAGGCTATATTGTTTGCATACTATCAGATTACTCTATGCTTTTTAAATAATAAATTATTTAAAATATTTAAATCAAAATAATTTGCTGTTTAAAATAAGCTTTTTTAAGAAATAGGCAAACTCAAAATGTATACAGTTACGGAATCTGGAATAAAGCACCAACATAGCATAACTTGGCTGTATTTGTTTTAAAGTTGCTAACCATACATTTTATAAAATTTACACGATCGGTAAATTACGTCTTCGTAGCTAATCTAGATTATTAAATATTAAAACAAAAATGTTAAATTATTCTTACGGTATTCAGAATAAAAAGAATATCTGATTCACTTTTCTGTGCGATGTCAAGGTTTCGTTTACAATTGCGGTATATTTTATTCATGTGATTTTATGTAGAAAAGTTGAACTAAATGTAACCAGCAATGTCGACGTATTCACATTTCACACATTTTTATTATAAAAGTTGAATATATTAAATTGAAAATAAAGCCTTCCGTGTTATAAAATATTCAATTGTGCTATTTTCATTTTAAAAATACTTATTTGCCCTTTAAGTAAAATAGAGTTATTATTTAGACTTTGGATCCCCCCCCCTAAAGCTTAAGAGTAGTTTAGTACCTTTCGTTAGTCAAAATTACATTTGTACGTTTATTGAATGTTTAATTTAAAGTTTAATCAAAAATGTATCACAACAAATATATACTTTTCTTATCAATTTACTTTAGAAAATAATAAAAATTTTCACTTCGTGTCACTTACGTACCAAAAGTGATGAATAACACATGAGTTGTTTGGATTGGGTAAGCGACTATCAGTTTAGCCGCAAACTTTTATTTTTACTTCTTTGGATGACTTGTACAATAGAAAATAAAAGATTTATTAGGTACTAACAGTTACCCGTGACTTCGTCCGCGCGAAATAAAAATAATTAGTATTAAAGGTTCCCATTTGGTTTTTTTTTTCAGAAATTCAAAATTTTTAAATCACTTTCTTTGCGAACTCTTAAGATTTCCATTCAAATATGCCACCTACTATTAAAATAATATTTTAAGTTCTTTATTGCATTTTTAGTAATTTTAGAATAATCCTCCTCAATAAGTCGTTTTCTTCAGGTTGAGGGTCGTGACCAAATATAATGCCAGTCAAGAGCCCTTACCAGTAATGAGGGAGAATGTGTTAGAATTATAAAAGCAACATTTAGAAAAAATAATAGGGTGTTCAATTTAAGTTAAAAATATCAAAGCGATTTTATTCACGTGTATAAATAGCATCGATTTATGATAAGTAACAAATATTTTATAGGTGTCTGAGTACCAATTTACGCACGACTCGGTATCTCTGCCTCATTAATTAATTAACGACGAGCGAGATTAATCAATTTGGTTTTTTTATACTTTTATATATGAATATAATCTCGTAAAAAAATTATCAGATATTATTTGGACATATCGAAAACCATATAAATACGTTTGCTATTTTATTTAGCTCAATATTTCTTCGTAATGAAATTCATTCTTTTTTTACTTTAACGTAGTTAGGTTAAGTCATTTTATCTCTTTAGTAAGTTTTTTCAGTTACATAAATAAAAAAACAACATAACTCATGCCCGTAACCCAGAGAGGAAGGTAGAGTTCACGGATCTAAATTTGTGGCGGTCCTACCACATGTCTCTGACTTCTTTTACATTCTCGTCGGATTCGGGTACTATTACTTAATAAGTAAACATTCTGTATAAAAATATAAATGTTGTTATTTGAGTGAAGTCGAAACTGGAGTGATTAATTCATGGCACCGTATTTGCTGTGGAAAGTCGACGGTGAATCGTACACTGCACGGTAAAAATGCGAACTTTGTTTCACAAACACGGCTCGCGACTGCACAGCCCGAGTGAAACATTTTCATTGTGTCTGGGCGCCGCTCGATTTTTAATCTTCCCGCTCGTCCTGCTGTTATTTTACTACAAGCTCCGCAAAAAAAATGTTTTTTTGAGAATTGATACTTATCTAAAACGCTTTTAATTCTTCTTTTTTTGTACAAAACGACTATGACCATAACACACGAGTATAATGTTGGTAGAGAGCAAAGATAAATGATAGAAGATACATCTGTAACAAATGAAGAAATGTTTAGAATTGATAGGAAGGGTAGAAGAGAATAAGAAAATGGCATTTTAGTTACCAAATAAAACGCTACGCAACAAGACTACACCCTATATTATTGACCTTGAGTTTGTCTCTACATAAACAAGTGAACATTACGTATATGTACTTAATATTTGTGTTATAGGTCTTTCGTCAGTGGAAATCCACGGTAAGATTGTCTATTTTGTACAACTGGAACGGCTCTACCTTCAGTCTATATGTTTCAATCATAATTTTTGTACATTCAATGACTTTTCAATGTAAAGCTTTGTTGAAATGTTACAGAACGTCAATACGCATAGTTCCAATAGTTCAATAGTAGCATCGCATTATTAATGAAGAAGCTAACCGCTTTGTGCGATTGCGTAGAGTAGAGTAGACTATAATGAAAGGCTGGACATATTAATAATTCAGATTTGATTAGATAGTGATTTCGAATTTATAATAACCAAAGACAGGTTAGTTTTTTCTGCGTAAAAATCAGAAGTTTCAAAAGAATCCATATACTTAATAAAAAGTTCTTACTTTAAGTTTTGAAAGTCTTGCAAAATTCTTACATTGTGATTACATAATTTTCTCAAACTTTACGATTACCAAATGCGCAACAAAAGTTAAGCAAAAAAAAAAATGCTACAATAAGAGCCACAAATAAAATAAACGTATCTTCAGGGAAATAAAACTAATGGCGAACAACGCAAGACTGATGGCTGCCTACGCTGTTCCGTTCCTACAATCATATGTTTTATTCATCACAAACGAAGAAATTCAACTAGGAAAGAATAGTTTTTAACTTTACTCGATAAAGGTTTTATGTCTATTAACTGAGTATTGAAGTTGGAAACATATCGTTATCTCTGTTTACTTTAAGAGAAAGAAAGAGAGGTACGATAAAAAATACGATAGACAATTGTTTCAGCAGTTAAGAATCAAAGCAAATAATGCACCCCCTGATTTTTTAGGAATTTTGTACAAGGTTATCAAAATGAAATTTATTTCCAAAACTAAAATGTAGATAGTTGCGTGCTGTTTCGCTGCAACTATGAAATATACTGAAATTAAATTCTTTTGCTCAAATGCACAGATTTGCTGCTATAACAACGCCAGCTGAATACGACACCGTAAACTTTTTGGTTACGTACAAAACGATATTTATTTGAATAAGTTTTCATGCACTTAAACACGTATAAAATGGTCTACAATTTAACATTAAATGTATTAGTGCTGACTGTCTTGTCATTTGTTTTTTTAAAGTGCAGTCGGCAAAGTATCGACCTATCATACGTCTTTATCGGTTGTCATATCTGAATTCACTCTCTTCTTACTTATTTCATCTCTTATATGATCCGTCCATACTTTCTTCGTTCTTCCTCTACGTTTGTAGTCATCTAAACCTGACTCCTGTGGTAATAACCTAAAATTGATGTACACACATGTTGAACACTTTTGTTGATGGACCCAATAAATAAATCCAAATTTAATTTCATTACGTTCTTATTTATGTGGTATCTCTGTTATAATCTCAACACATATTTCCATACAATACTAACATTTTACTTCTCTACCAATGCTACTTTCAAACTTGACAACCAATCAATATTTTAGACAGGTAAATAAAAAAAACTGTACATGACATTAAAAATAGTGTTGCATTATGATAAAATTTGGATACACTTTCTCATTTTAGTTAACAATTAAACTTTCAGTTGCCCGTATTGGTTAATGTGACGAATTTAATATTTGTCAAATATTGATAAATCGACATCTGTTATATTGCAGTAACCGCAGAGATGAACCGGATGTTCATGTAGAGTAGTAATTGTAAAATAAATAAAATGTTTAATTATAATTTTATTTACTTTTGAAATATAAAACTCATAAAAACTCTTTTTTTTTATTGGAAAAGACTCACCTATAAAAATTCGTACACTATGTAACTATGTATTCTATTTTTAAAATTAATCTACACTAACGTAACTTTTTAAATCGTATTTTTTTACGTCGATGGCAGAATAGAAAAGAATATTGGAAGGTATTGGCTTTGCTATTGCGGGTAGTTCGGTCAGCAAATATTTAAAAACGTAACAAGACCTTAATAAAATACTGCAAATTTGTTAAATTTAAAAACTTAAATCGCTTTACCACTTTTACATTTAAAAAGGATACACTAAAATATATTTTAGCGTAGGGTTATTTCACATTATGTCAATAGTATAGCGTGAAACTCGATTAATTTTTTCTTCCTCAACATTACGCCCTGACGCCGGAGGGTGCATCACGCACGTGTTGTCAAATTAATTGAATGACTTCCGTCGCTGGCGGCCCCGCGCGTCCCGCCGCGCCGACGTGCGGTACACTTAATCCCGCTCTAAAACTACCGAACTAAACACAGAAACAAACGAAGTTTTGCATATTGTCTATGGGACTGCACCTCCCCTTATGCACTTGAGATTTTTTTCCCGGCGTCACTTGTATTTTTCATGGAGTTGTGGGCGCGGGTGTGCGCGGCGCGGGGCGAGGGGCGGGGGGCGGAGCGGGTCGTGCGGCCTCTCGCGCTCGCGTTTAGTACAGCGCTCAGCAGGAGTGTTGAACGCTCGGCTTCGCAGTCGGCGATCTTTCGTATTCTTCGTTTATTTTCTTTTCTATTCGTTTAATTTGTAACTCCAGTCCTCTAGCCACTTCATTAATGAAACGTTCCCTATACATCGAGTGAGTTTCGCAGTGTTTACCGGCAATTTTATTTTGACAGTGTCACGTGCGAGAATCGTATTATTACCGGTTCCGGAGTTTTTAAGTGTTTATAACGCAACAAGGCCTTTACTTGACGCAGGTAGAGCCGGCGGATCGTCCGAAGGTGAGATAGTGTCGTGTTTGTTGATGTTTAGAAGAATCCAAACTCACAATAACTTCATTAAGACGGAAAGTTTATTCAAGAAAGAATAATACTTTAATACTGTTTCTTTCCAATAAGATTCTGTCGGCAAACTTGAATAGTGTACTTTGTTAAGTGAACTTTAAAGGTGCCTGTAACTTACTACATAACCTTATTTTCAAACAAGGCGCGTGTTTTACGGACATGCGCAGTCCGGTTCACCGAAATTATTTATAAGTGTCTTGTAATTTTATAAACAAAGCTCGTGTCGTGTGGTTTTTGTGCCGGTCTGGAGTACGCCGCTAACGAGAAGTGCACGATTGTTATTTGAATCTTCACACGACGTCCATTGTCACCTAATAAGATATTCGGATTTTTAAATCGAGAGTATCCGTTCACCTGTGGGATTGTGTTTTACCTGCGCGCGCACGGGTCTTCTTTAAAAGGTGAGTTGAATGCAAAATATTTGAATGCACGTAGTGCAGGTGCGTGATAAAAAACAGCCTCATAAAATGTTTTAGTCGTCGTGCGCAGTCGGCCCCGCGCCGCCGGGTCGGTTTTTTTTGTAAATAACCAGTTGCTTTGCTTATTCTTTCGGTAGGTTGACTACACAATGACGTCATCACTTAGCATCCTGAGATTGTGCGTCTCTTTTACACTTCAAGAATTCTAGATAACTCTTTCTATCGTTTAACTTTTGCCTTTACTTACTTATCTCATAATACTTTTCCTTTTTATACATTTATATTGGTACGCTATTTAGTATTAGTGTAGTTTCTCCGGATTTTCAGATTAATTGTCCAAAAGCTTAATATTTTTGTTTTTGTTATTTCACACTTTTAACATTTTTTCGTTGCTCAATTGCTGCTTGAGACATAGGGTAAGCATTATATAATTAACGATAGAACAATGGTTTTTTTTAATTTACACAAAAGTTTGCATAAATTATTTGTAAAGTATGAGTTTTTTCTCATAGAACTTTAATTCGATTTTTGATAATTCTGACAAAACTATTAAAAGGGCGAAATTATTATTCCTCTTAAACAAGTTTCTTGTACTTATATGTTTTGATAACAATTATTGTTTACATTCCCTTTATTCCTCTTTCATTATACCCATAAAAATATATCTCAAAATGTGAATAAATATAGTTTTTCTATTTTTAAAATTACTTTTATACCTACGGCTAATAAAACAATAAATTAATGTGAGAAATGTAAACAATTTTGACAGTTCTTGTATGCGCACGCGCGAACTAACTTTCTTATTGTAATTGTGAAGTAAATATTTAAGCATCTGAATGTGGCGTACAAAGTAATATTATAAGGACAAAATATCACTTTACAATAAATGTGAAATGACGAGCGGTTTTTTTACCGCTCCTCATTTCATTCATTTATTTTTCTTAATTTCTTAAGTTTGACGTCGACCATGTCCATTTACATTAAAGGATTTAAAAAAAAATCATTCGAATTGAGAACCTTTTTGCAGTAGGATAAAATTATTAGTTACTTGGGTTACAATTTATACAATTGAATTAAACATTTGGTCAGATTAGACTCTTATAAGCTCGGACTAATTCAGCAGTAATTTGACAATCAAACTAGAACAAATAAACGAATAATTTACAATTTGACGTACCATGTCTCACTCTAATATTTTTTGGTAAACATATTTTTAAGTTATGGTACCAAGTGTGTACATCATCACAATTCTGACAGCAGTGTATGGAACTTGAAGAATAAAAGATATTCATAATATTTCTCGTGAGATTATCAGATTGTATGATACCAACATATTTCTCTATCCTATATATGAGCACTATTACTTTGTTGTTATGGCTTGACGATCATCGCAACATAAATTTTGGTCGAGGCGGCAGAACTGTACCTTGCTTTGACTCTTGTCGTATATCATTCACGCTCCAGAGCCACTTAATAGACAAGGTGACTGTTCACCACAATATATACTTAATCGTGTTTATTTTAGAATATATATTTGTTTGATGGATAAAATTTTCGTAGTCCATACGTAAAGTTCGTTGTACTTTGCCTGCCTTTTGTGTTGCACTTGCATTCTGATTATTCAAATGATTGCATACTACAATACGATTGTTCATTCGATGCCCGTTCGATTCCGCATTTATTATTCTTAGCTTTAAGAACATTTATTAAACGCTCCAGCACTTTCAATTGTTTTTTGAGATTTACTGGGCTATATTTTGTAGAAATTAATGATATTAAGCCGGCTCAATTCAATAGATTATTTGGCATCTACTAGTATTCGCTTCATAGTGAGATCTGCTTAAAAACAGCATTCTTTTTTACTTTTTTCCAACGATTGTTTCAATAGTTTTGTATTAAATTGGCCTTATAATAATGAGTAGATCGTAAAGTATATAAAAACTTAATGTTGTCTGCTTGCACGAATTAGTTTTAATAGTATCAATTTGGCTTTGTTAAGTTGTCATCACCTATTTGATGTTTTGAGGCAATTTTGTTTGTAAAAATTCATTTTAATATTTGTAATACATTTTGATGTCATAATAGAGCAGTTGGCAGCTTCCGCCAACGTTCTTATTTTATATATTATAAAATGAAATTAGGCAACTGGATCAAAATAAAGCCGTCTGTCGACAAAGCGAAATGCCGCGGCCTAAATACTTCAAACGCGACCTCGGATTGAGGATACAATAAAATTTGCGTCAAAGCCACTCCGCGTCTTTTCGGAATTATGTATTTGGGAAAAATACCTGCTTAAATTACACAATTTGTTCCTTAAAAACAAAAAAAAAAACGTCTGACCATAGCCTTATAACATTCACAGAAGGAATACGAATCGAATGATATCTCACTCATTAAAATCGATTCAAATGTTTAGGCACAACGGACCTTTTAGATAGAAACGCGCAAAAAAATACTAAACTTCTTGAATCAGTCGAATAATACCTTAATAGGAATACTTATAAGATTTTTTAATAGCATTGCTAAGTATAATCGTGAGATATAAAGCCTAGCGTTGTATCGCAAAACAAATATTCACTATTTCTTCATTTGTGTGTGCGAAGCGAACGGTTCAAGGTTAGTCGGCTAAGCGTTGACAGACCGCGCTGCGAGCACGCCATCGTCTCGTATTCTTTAGGGTTGAATTTTTAAGTACATCTTGTTTTTTTGTTTTGTTAATGTTGCTAGCTATAGTAATTTTAAATTGTTATGACAAGGCAAATAAATTTAAACTAAGAGAATAGAATAAATCGATAGAATTAAATATACAAAGTTTACCAATTAGATAAAGTCAAGTCCACTTTAATCTTTGACGACGTCGTCACTTTGATATACAAGTATGCTACCTATATTTAGTTAGAATATTCCTTGATCCCATATTTCCAACATTTGACAGTAATCGGATTACGAACTCGTCCCTTGTATTTTATTTCATGAAGTTTGTAGTCGTATTATCGCATTTGGTAATCCTCGGCTACGTCAGAGTTTAAATGGAATATGTCCATACGGAGGTCAATAACCTTCCATTTAATTCAATACGCAGCCCTGTCCCAAAAGACTGGCCGATATTGAATCAGTGTATGAAAACTTCGATAAAGGAATAAATACAAATTACTTATATAAACCCTCAAGGGTTTAAAGTTGTATAAATCAAATAATGTTTGCTATAAAATTATTTATTAATAGCGAAATTTTTTAATCTATGTCTATTTTAACAATTTATTTTCTTAATTTATAATAACAATACATATGTAGTGTGTATTGAGTGAAGCAACACCGACAAACAATAAGGCAATTTATTAGACACGCTTTGTTGATTTTACATCTTAAATTCTTAGCAACAAGGTTTGTATTTCGTAAACTGATTGTAAAGTTAAATCAAGGTTGTACACTGTCTGCGGCTGAGGTATGTGCGTTAATTAGTTTTAATTATGAGATAATTTTCGATTTAACGGAATAAAACATCAGCCAGCATTTAAAATTAAGAAGCCAGCCAGAAAAACAGTTTGTGACTATCGATAATATTGAGTGACTAAATGATTCTCATACATATACCTCAAACCTTTTTAAAGTTTAAATAAAGTAACTCACAAGATTAAGTTAAAGTGACAGGAGCTAACTACAAATACCTACTGAACTTAGAACCAAAACAACTAATAGCATATTGCCTAGTAACCTAGCTAAGATCCCGCGCTTTTTATCGTATCTCATACATATATTTAAATGAACTCGAGACTATAAACATAACCTAAAACCTGCTCTCTTATTTCTTGGTAAGGATTTTTTAAAGTTCGCCACAAGGCCAGCAGTTAAGATATAAAGTCGCCAGGTTTAACGACCTGTCTTCCGTGCTACCATTGTAAATATTTGAAGAGTCTCCTCTCTCTAATTCTTGTTACGACGCTATGTACCCGTGAGTTATGTTGACATGTTCGCCTCACCATTTACTTAATAGTATGTACAGTCGCCGTCGGTCACGGTGTTCTACCTCTAAACTTGAACTTCTTGTACGTCTTGAGACAATAATCTTCAGTAAATTTGATTGAAATATCGATAACATACTGATTTTTTATTTGTAATAAGGTTAGGATTTTAAGTTGCGAGGTACAACGCAATTTTTCTGTATCTGGAACTCTGCGAGTGAAGCCGACTGTACTTTGGCATAAATACCGTACAACTTTAAGTACCAAACAAAATATATGTCTTTCCGTTTATTTCGTATACTTACATTTGAAATTTTGAAAATATTCGGGAGGCAGCAAACGAGGTGGTTCCTTACCGGGAATTATGAATAACTAACAAAATAAACATCAAGTTGCTGGTAACTTTGCTATTGATATCTTGTGCAATGGTAGGCTATTAAAAATAACATGTATGTGAGTATGTAACTGACTAATGTCATACCTACAGGCGCAGCAGGTTTTGGCTTTTGATTATTACTTCGCGCGATTAAACACGGCGCGGTAGCGTGAGGTAACACCTAATGACAGTGTTAGTGAATTGCGGAATGAGCTTTTAACGACTGACCCTAACATTTTCACACTATACAGATACGTTACTTTCAGCTATTTTTATATCCAAGAATTCTCTATAATTATTTTGTAAAATGGACCTTATTGCATTTACTAATAATTCAAATTTGTACAACAACGTTATTTGGCTAGAATTATGCTTGTAATGAACCTTATTTTGATATTTTTTAAGGTTCGGCTTCAATTATTAAATAAATTCCGGACTATGAAAATTAAAAAGTGACTAAGATTTTACAATAATACGGGAATGGATGACATTAATGTGATATTTTGAAAGTGATTTCCGATGATTTTTACTTATTTGGAGGACATGAAGTAAGCAAATATACATGTATGGTAGTTTATTGTGCAATTGTGACAAAACAATACGTAACTTATTATTCTTCCGCTAATATATTAAATCGATAACGC